ATAGTATCTACAGTGATCATAGAGTATTTATAGTATCTACAGTGATCATAGAGTATTTATAGTATCTACAGTGATCATAGAGTATTTATAGTATCTAAAGTGATCATACAGTGTAAATGAGGTTCATCGAAAACAGAGTGCGGTGATGCTTTCTTGCCTCAGTTTGTCGATGATGATCTTCCCTGTTTTCTCCACCAGAGTGCTTCTCAGAAATGTGTGTGTCAGTGTGCTTCTTTTGGACCCACACTCTGATAGACACTCACAAACACTTGCCCGCTGGATTACACGCGGACACACTGCCCCAGTGCACCTCATCAGGTGTTGAGCCATTTCCTGGAGCACAGAGTGACTTTTGAGTGACTGAACATTCAAATTCCATCAAATTTATTTATATAGCACGGTATCACACATGTATCACACATATCACATGTACAAAGTGTTTTCTTGTTTCACTAATCTGAGTCACTGTCGGCAGCAGCAGGTGGTGGTGCCTCAAGTGGCTTGGGGACATTTTCCTTTGCTTTGGGTTTTTCCTTTAGCGTACACATGCAGGTTTCACCGGCAGCATCTATTGCACTACTGTCCGTCCTGGGGGAGGGATACCTCATGTGTCTCTCTCTTAGGTTTCTACATTTTTTCCACCTCTGTTACTAAGGTTTCTAAGGCAGTTTTTCCTTAATCTCATTGAGGGTTAAGGGAAGAAGATGCCGCGCCTTGCTAAGCCCTATGAGACAAATTGTAATTTGTGTATATGGGCTATACAAATAAAATTGGATTGATTAAGTAGATTTTAATATATTAAGACACAGGAACTGAACATCATAATAGCAGGAACATTATAAGAGTAAATTATGGGGCTAAGGAATAAGTGATACATTGTCAGTTGATTTGAAACACTTGTTTTAATTTCCATTTCAAATGTCTAACTCTAATGATCAAATGGGCTGTGTTATATTCTGTTGTCTAACATTTGTCATTCAAACATTTATAACTATTACAAGCAATCACAAATTCACTCGTTTTAGCTCTGAACCTGCAATGAGTGTGGTTTAAATACTTCAACTAATTGATATAAAGACACAGTTCATGTTGTACTTTCCTAAAGTACTAACAGTTATCAATCAATCAATCAAATTTTATTTATATAGCCCATATTCACAAATCACATTGTCTCATAGGGCTTTAACAAGGTGCAACATCCTCTGCCCTTAACCCTCAACAAGAGTAAGGAAAAACTATGAATCCATAATTGACAAACTTTGTCTCTGAAAAAGACCAATTTAAATATGCCACTATGTGTGTTTGTGTTTGACACAAAAACAATTTCAGAGGTGCAGTTGTGTTACTATTTGCTCCTGTTGTCTTCCAGACAAATTATTAGAGTTTTAAGACCCTGGACAACAAGGAACTCATCTACATATTAAAGATACCCAAACCCTGCTCTGGAACCTGACAAAACGGATATGATATCAGTTGTTTAGCACTGAGAGGTATGTCATTCAGTTGGCCGATAGGCCTGTGTGATGATCTGCATAGTGGGTGTATTGTATTGAATTTAAATGTGTACCTGAATGCTTCGAGTGAACTCCTTGGTCAGTGCAGCAGCGGTGTTAGTGAGGATGCTGTTCACAAAGTCTCCATGAGAGGCACACGTCCTGCCTGCCTCATACAGAGAGGGAAGCACCTGCACAGACAAACAGTGGCATCATTTCCACTTTGTACATTTCCACAGTCTGATCTCATGTGACCCAGAAACAACAGCTCCACCATACATTTAGAAAGCTTGTTGTCAAAACCTTCTGAGCTGTTAATTCAAACCCTCAGTAATGTCTGTACTGTTTATATGCTGCATCATTGTCAAACTAGAATCACCTCACTGCAGTTGTAAGCCTCCACCAACCAGTGCAGTCTCTGTGTACATATTTCGACATACTTTTTTTTCATATAAAGGTCACTCTAACCTTTACCTTTGACAACTGAAACACAGTTACATGTGATCATTGTGACCTTGGCCTTTGACCTCCAGGAACCAAAATCTAATCAGTTCACCTTTGATTTCAAGTGAATGTGAAGACATTACCTCAAGCTGATCTTAACATATCATGTTCAAGATAAACATAAACATACCATTACCTTGACCTTTGGCTACCAAAATCAAGTGAGTTAATCTTTGAGTCCAAGTGAAAATTTGCTTTGTGAGGTCACCTTGATCTTTGACCTTTGACTGCCAAAATCAGTTCATCCACGAATACATATTAATATGTGGACCAAATTTGAGAAAAACATTTTCAAGGCATTCTTGAGGTATCGCATTCGCGGGAATGGGACAGACTGATGGATGAACAACCCAAAATTCACGGGTGAGGAGGCATAAAAACTCTTTCTCCTATGTGTTAGTAAAAGCAGGGGACACATCTCTCAATTCAGTGCAGTTTAGTTCAACACCTCTGCAAACCACAACATTACCTATAAAGCTATTCATGATATGTCACCTTCACACTTAAAGAACTCATAGTATCATACTGCGCTCCCAGAATTCAGACTTACTTGTTGTCCTTAAAGTATCTAAAAGTAGAGTAGGAGCCAGAGCTTTCAGCTATCAGGCTCCTCTCCTGTGGAATCATCTCCCAGTTTGAGTTCGGGAGGCAGACACCCTCTCTATGTTTATAGGCTGAAAACCTTCCTTTATAATAAAGATTTAGTCAGAGCAGGTTCAGGTCTGTCTTTGACCAGCTCTAAGTTATGCTGCTATAGGTCTAGACTGTCAGGGGACACATGACAAATGGAGCTTTTGAGGATTCGTAGAGGATTTCTGAGCCCATTAGAGCAGCCTGTACCTTCCACGACTCCCTGGCATTGCACAGCACCTCCTTGGCTGTCAGGATGTGAGCCTGGGCCTCCTGAATGCTGTAGGGGTTTAACCGTTGAAAACTCTCCTCCAGCTGCTGAAAAAGTACATTTTAATCAAAACCACCACCTTCTGTCAGACAGCTCATCTTTGATATGATACGACTCAGTTTAAATCATCACACATTTATTGTCAAATGAATTATATTAAATGAAAATGACCTGTTTACTCTCTACTTTTTGTTCTATATTTATTTAGCTTTACAGTACAGTTTATTGACACTTACCCATTTATACACATATTCACACAGTGCATTCATACAGTATGGGCAGGACTATTTCTATGAGGGGCAATTCAGTTCAGTATCTTGCCCAAGGACACTTCAGAATGCAGATGGGGGAGACTGAGCTTCATTCTCAGTGAAATGAATTGAACACATTTTCAATTCAATTTATGCATGAAGTACTATTCTCTGAGTTTTTTTCTACTTTGACTAAGCAAAAGATATTGGTATTTAACACCCTAATCATTGACAATACCATGTTAGAATTAATCATCACTGTATTTCTGTTGTTAATTGACTTGCGCATATTTTCATTTTTTGTTATATTCTTCTTACCTTTTCAGATTGTTGAGATTCAAACACTCGCTGAAGTTCCACTCTGTCAAACTGTCTCTGAGTGTTTCTGTCCAAACACTGCTGAATCTGCTCACACACACACGCACACACACACACACACATTGTACTTTAAATATCTGTTTTGTGAAGGTAATAATATATTCAACCGCATCCCTCACCACAGTGGATGGATATAATATTATATAATATTAGCTGCTGTCAGTGAAACACACATAAATAGTAAATAAAAGCCAATTTGAACACATAACATGGTCGGTCACTGACCAGAACATAATGATGGTAGCCAAAGCCATAGCACACTGTTTTGACTGTATGTCATGTGTAGAATAATGCAAAAACTGCCTGAGATTGTCATTCTCACGTGATGTGAGAAATGACAAAAGCATTTACCTTTTAGAATACATTCATGCTCACACACACTGACCTTGTGCAGGGCCTCTCTTGTTCTGTCAGGGTCACTGCGGTAACTCTGTGTGATATCAGCCAGCGGCAGAGACACCTGCTGCAGAGTGAAGTTCCTGCTCAACATAAAACCCAACCATCACCACCATGCATACTATGTTGCATGTACTTCCCTTTAGACTTCACTCATGACAGCAACATGGCTCCTGGGATAACAACATTGGTCTATAGGTGTATCAGTTGGATGGTCCACCATTTTGATCCAGACAGAAAGAATTGCTGGATGGGTTGTCTTGAAATCCTTTGTATAGACATTCATGGTCCACAAAGGACAAATCCTACTGACTTTGATGATCACAATATTCCCTGAGGTGCCGAGAAGCCATTTTAGTTAAATGTCTCACAGCTACCAGATTTACACACATTCTTGTCCCTTCATGATGTGTATTTTATATTTATGGGTATTTGCTTTTATCTGCTTTCAGTTTTTAATCCTTTGTTAAGTATATTTGAGCACCTTT